AGACACCGGGGACCGTATCCGATCCTCGTTGACGCCAACGAAAGATCGCGTGAAGTCATCGATAAAGTCACCGCGTCGACTTCGATTCGACCTTCTTCGTTAGCTCGTTAGCCGCGGTAGAACGACGTTTCGTGGTATTCAATTACTACGGCGTTACACGCCGCTTTCGACCCTTCGAATACGCTTTCCTTGCCAAAAGGATCACGCGGATCGACCGAGCCACCAATGGTCTCCATTATATTTCAGCTTCTTCCTGGAAGTGGATTTCGAAGGCTGTGCCTGCTGGAAACTGTACATAGAACGTAACAACAGCTATCGCGGTCTCCTTCAATCAGGAAAAGGATTCCCACGGGATATTGTTCGCTAGGTGGATATAGGCGGTCGACCTTTAAGCTATTCAGTGACCTCGCCAGCTCCTGACGTTCGATCCTCAGGTCTCCCTCCTGTTACCTTGCTACGCGCACCAGCCTACAGAATCTCAATTTCTCAATTATTCCTCCACACTTGCTTGATTTTACATTCTATACAGTACCGAGGGAAAAGAAATGTAATTTTTATTTTAATTTTTCCATGGAAATTAGTAGCGCTATTTCATTTTTTAATTAAATTAAATTAAATATATAAAATGTGTCTTTGGTTCATAGTTTCTGTAATATTTCTCTAGCAAGAAACTAACGATTCGTGTACCTGTGGTATATCTAAGGCTTATCACGCGGTGGCTCGTTATCGGGTTCGATAGCGGGCGAAACGCGACCTCGCGAAAGAACGCGACGCGACACCGGCTACGAGAGTTGCGTCGCGTCGCGTTCCGCGCGCGTGCATATACCCATCGCGCCGCCACGTATCCGCTCGCTGCAGAGATGTCTTTACGAGCGAATGATGCATGCGTTCACGTGAGCACCGATGCGCATACCAGGAAGAATCTCGATGCGTAGTGCCGTGGAGAGCGTGGTTCGGGCTACTTGAGCACACTCGCGCGAGCGTGGGTGGGTACCGTGAGACCCCGCTTAGAGGGAAGCATGGAAACCTTACCAAGGATAACCTTCCGACACGAATAATCTGAAAAATTATAAATTTGCAAATAACCTTCAATATTATTATCCCACTGTCAGAAGAACTTTTGAAGAAATTTTATTATTTCTTTGATTTTTTATAATTAGTATATAATAATAATTTATTCATTTCTCTATCGACTATATCATAATGCACTGTTTTTACCAATTTCTACTTTTATTATTATTACTAAATTTATTATTTATTTAATTTTTTATGATTAGTATATCATTATAATTTATTCATTTTTCTATCGGCTATATCATATTGCACTACTTCTAGCAAATTTCTATTTTCATTATTGTTACTAATTTTATTATTTCTTTAATTTTTTATAATTAGTATATGTATAATTATAATTTATTCATTTCTCTATATCATAATGCACTACTTTTAGCAATTTCATTCCCGAACCGTTGGTAATTCCTTATCTCGAGCTAACGACGCTCGAGATATTGGTAATCAGTTTCCAGAACTGATTACGTATCTTGGAGAAAGCAGTTGCTCGAAACGTAGCAAGATTGTTTTAGAAGGTACTGTATCTGATTCGGCTAAATGAAAAAGCTTTGCATCGAATTAGCTATTTTGAAATTATTTAAATTCATCGTAAATTTGGTTACCATCCTGATGGTTGGCCACCATCGACGTTTCCGCTTACGGAAGAAGTCGTGTCGCGTATGCAGCACGTTTCCCACCGCGACATAGACATCGGTTCTCACGGGGAACACGCGTCTTCGCACGGTCCTGACGCGCGTACACGCGTAACTCCGCTTGAAACCTTCGACGCGTATATGTACAAGCGGATCAATCGTTCTTTTTGCAAACCGTGTTGCACTTTCACTTGGTTTCCTGTCGAAGGCGCGTCTAATATTCGCTATTGTTTCACACCGACCTCGACGATGTTACCCTGGTCGAACGATTCGCCAGTTCGAACACCAATCAATCGAGCCTCTAATGTTCTAAGACGTAACGTCTATTATGTAAGGGTCGATTGATTGCGCAATTTGCACGCGTAATTGTTTCGTCGGTCGACTTTGATTTTGCTTCGAGCTTCTCGAGAATTGAAATTCAAATAACTATTTTTAATTTGAAGTTTTTATATTCATGTTTCTTTTATTCTTTCTTTTTTTTTTTTCTTTCAGTAGGCGGCAATTACGTCGGCGATTTTAAACACCTCTCGTAAACAGCATGTTTGTACCGTAAAACGTTCGTTTGCTCGAATTTCGAAGAAAAACAACGAGACGCGATAAGCGGTTGATCGTGGATAAGAGACGAACGGGCACGTTTCGTAGCATTTGCAATAATCCTGAAACGTTTTAAACCTGCATAATATACGACCGTCTTAAAGCAAACTGTACAACAAAGAACTCGGCTCGGCTGTGTTTTCATGCAACAATATCTTTCGGGAAACAACGCTTTACCGTACGACCGATCAAATCGATTATTTTCAAAACCGCCTGCCATTTGTCGAGGACAAAAATCACTCTAATCGAGTACGATTGAAGGAATCCAACGGGATTTAGAACTTAATGCTTGGAATAAATATATCGTGACTTATTATGATAATGCTGGAATGCGTTGTGATTTTGTAAAAGGATAGAAGTTTTGAATTTTGCATTTTATTATAATTTTGGATAAATATCATTTTTTAATTCATTAATGTCCTAAAGTGTATATACGTAATATTTTATTGTAATTTCTATGATCAAAAGTGTTTTAATTTGAACAAAATAATATATTTTTTACATCTAGGAATGAATGAACGAAGAAGCAGAGGTTACACGATTATTGTGAAACAAATCAGCCGACAAATAATACTCTTCTGTTGTTAAAACAATGCCTTTCATAAAGGAACACCTGTCGTTTGCGATCAGACTGCTATTTTCTAAACTTCGTACCACCTGTTGATTACAAAAATCCTTTTAATTGAAGCCAGTCGTGGAATATTTTCCACTTACTTTATGACGTAATATTCACATTAATTTCGTATGAAAAATTTCATTAACTCGGTAATTAATTATCTAATGAGATACTATGAAAAATTAATTTTTCCATCTATTTTCTCAATTTCTTATTTTGAACTACAATCGTAACTTCAGTAATACAAGTCTCCCTGTCTCTTCATTTCTTAATTATTTCACTAATTTTCTCTGCAAATAACCATAGCACCAGTCATCTAGGACCTCAATAGGGTTCAAAGTGTTAATTACTCTTCTAATTTCAACTTTCTTAGTCTAAACTGTTGAAAAATGGAAACTTCTAATTATTTCAAGGAGAGTTTCTTTAAAAGCCTAATTTTAACCAATATGATCCATTGAAAGGTATACCACTTTATTAGAAAATCTAACATTGCTTTTTAGAACTCGAACGTTTCTCAAACGGTGTTTCTAATTCTTTTTTCTTTCTTCTTAGAAGCGAGAGCATCGATTGTCGCAACGCGTCACGATTGCCATTTCTGGCGTGTTGCGATACGCGGACGTATTAGTCATAGTTACTGCATACCGCACAGAAAATTGAGACATCCGGCAAGGACGGCCACAGGCTATTCGTGTTAGAAATTTAAAGAACAGCCGCGGCTATGCAAATGCGTAACGCGCTTGGGCTCGAGCGGATACGCGCGTACTAGCCAGGCCAAGCTTGTGCAACCTTGACGATCGAGAATGTGTTTGACCTCCTCGTTGCGGATAATCCTGCTCCTCGCCACCTGGTTAATGCCTCCCGTGTCCTTAAAATCATCGCTTTTCTTATTTTCCCTTTTTTCCCTCATTTGTCCACCTGTCTCAACACACCCAAAGTTGCAAGGATAAATCGACACTTTATAATCAATAAATTTGTCATTGAAGAATAAGAAAAAAAAAAGCAATAAAGATGAACAAAAGATAATAATATCAAACAAGAATCTATGTATATACACTACTGTTGGTTCATAGAATGGAATCATCTACAAAATTATATTTTATTTTTGGTACCATACTTTTAACATTGGTACGTAACTGTGACTCGACACCGAAAGGGTTAACGGTTCGACGTCCTAAACACTCGGCATCTCTTGACCCGACGCGTCGATAGGTTAACGCGATCTCGATCAGAAAGAAAAAAGAAATGGTGGTCACCACGGGTCCATACACATACGTAGAGTCCCGAAAAGAATCGACGCCTGTGTCACGTGGCACGAGTTCTCAGTCTCTCCCTGTCTCTCCCCCATGATCCCGAACCGGAGGAGCCACCCGACTTCTTGAGGTCGAGGAATTTAATAACGGACGAGGTCGAACCGAGTCGAATCCAGTCGACTCGACTCGACTCGACTCGGCTCGAGTCCAGTCGAGTCGCGCGCGCACTCGAAAAAGAGAGCCACCAGCCCGGACAGCGCACTGGTCACCAGAGAGGAGAGAAGGTTGCGCTCATTCATAGGAATTTTACAGGTTGTCAGGCAGGTTTGACCGGCCTTTGTCATGGAAGTAACTCCGTCGAGAACGACCGCGGGCCCCGTATTTGTTCGTTTAGGATGGCGACGAATCACCGATGAATTTAGACGCGCGCCTCTTATACCTGCGCATTAGCTGGCACACCAAACAGCATATCGTTAGAGATTCATACGAAAATCAATATCAAACGATCAACATGAAACAAGAAAAATGAAATAAAAAATATTTCATTTCAATGATTCCTATAGAACAGAGCGAAAAGCTTCATTGTCCGGTGCGTACTCGCTCGCTCCTCCCGTGCCGGCGCGATCGAGCATGTTCGACAGATTTTTGCCGTGAAAGTGGCACGCGGCAGCGGAATCACTAAACAGGTATTTAGCGCAGCGGCGAGTAATCAGGATGAATTCGGTCGCGAATGTGTTTCAACTTTCAAAATGCACCCGCCAGAGGAGCGGGTCGCCGATGGCTTGGAAATAGGAAGTGCGCGTTCGGCAGCGCGCGAATACGCGACTGCACCTCCTAGAACCGTCTGAACCGACGTGAACCGAGGCGAACCGTTCGAACGGAACCACCGTGTTGATTCGCCTTTCCTGCGGACCACTTGGATCGGATGACAAACGGGGAAGAAACTTACAAGTATATCTGGAAGTTCAAACAACTCGGTAATTGTTAATGATAAATATTAATAAACATCCTTCGAATGAGGAAAATGATTTTCAATTAATGCTTCTTTTAGCGAGAACGAATCTCTTAAGAGGAAACGCTATGCTGAACGTTTTCGAACTTTGAAATATGATCATTTAAACGACTCCGGAATTGACCCTTAAAGGAACTTTGTTCGGTTAGGTAGTCAGGTTATAATAGATTCTATCGACTCGGAGCTATAAAAGTCGTGGGGAAACATTCGAAGAAAGAAAGTCGGTCCTTAGGAATATATACCTACTCTTCGGGACCTGAACCCGTGAAAAAGAAGGCGTAAAAAAAAAAATGCAACAGAGTAGCTTCTCTGCGGTGGACAATAGAAATTTCGGTAGCTTAATGATTTATAAATATAAATAATTAGAATCGATGCATTTCCTTCTTTTTTTGACATTGAAGCTCGTTGATTTTATGTTACTCTCGTTTTGGCGGAAATTTTAACATAATGTCGGCGTGTCTTTAAGATCGTCCATCGGATGACCTCGAAATCATCGATCGGCTGGTCGAGCTTAGAATCAGGCGTGAATCTGTTCGTTTCGTAGGTGAACACGTGGAAATGTAGGTGTGTAGAGACACGGTAGAGCACCGATATATCCCGTGCACCGGTCGCGGACGACTCGTGAACCGCCTCTTTTATCCGGGGCGCAATTGAGTCAACGGCCTTTCGAAAGAAGTAACGGTATACGATTATTACTCCTACCGAGTCTATACTCACGAAACTGAAACATTCGCGGGCGTGCGCGAGCGCGCTTCAGCGAGCAAGTACTTTACCTACACATCGCTATGTGTTTCTAAGTCTCTTTTATCACGACTGTGGTCTCTGGCTATGGTTTTACAGACCCGCTGACAGATCGACGCCTTTTAAAAGATTCCAGAAAGGAAACGAGACGAACCTGCTTCGCGGATCATTCTCGTCGATCGTCTTTCGCTTTTATTGAAATCGAATGGAACTCGATGATTCGTTCAACGTCATTAAATTCTTTTATTGCTCGGCCCAACTTGTGCATAAGACACAATTGTTACAATATTAACCAGTGCAATGAATATCTTGTTTCTTTGATCGAGTTTCCATTTCCTTAGAAACAAATTTCCAAGGAAAACTTTTTCATCTTCCTCGTCGATCATTTTTCCCTTTTATTGAAATCGATGATACATTCAACATTACTAAATTTTTTCTATATTCCACCTTATAGCTTGGTCCAATTTATGTATTTATTATATAAATATAAAATATTAACTAATGCAATGAACATCCTATTCCAAAAATAAATTTCTTCAATCAAATTTGCATTTTCTTAGGAACAAATTTCTAAAGAAACCTTCTTCCTTCTTTCTTTCGGTTGCGAATAAAGAATCCTCCTAAAAGGGTCCTTTGCTTTCTGATGCTTTCCTTGAATAGTTTTTATGAACCATCAATGATGCACATGATTATGTTTTTAGTATGATACGCGGTTACTAATTGTACGGAGAAGGGAGAGCGAAGCGTTTATTGGCTGTCGTTTCGATTGTAAGTGGGAAGATTTCACGAGACGATTATGTTTTTAGCGCGGCACGTAGTTATTGATTTACAGCGCCGGGGAAACGTTTTATAAAGCACGGTATCGGGAATCAGTGGAAGGATTGTCGAGTTGGTATTGTTGGTATGGAATCGTACTGTTCAGTATGTTTTTTTATGGACTACCAGCGTTGATCGTGATTAATTGCAGGAACATGAGAACTGTGTTTACCTCGTACTACCGAGAGAGAACCATTTCTTTTTTTTTTTTTTAAAGATTACGGCACCGCTGTAACAATTCGTGGGAAGATCGTACCGAAGCTTTTGTATGATTTATAGTTATCAACGATGAGATTTTTATTATAAACTGAATGTACAGTGTTTAAAAGGAAAGTTTTATGAACCAGTCAATATCAATTTCTATTTCTACTATATTTTCTATGTTATTAATATTAAAAGGACGCTGTGAAATTTATAGATGAATAAAAACTTTTTCTCGGTATCTAATCACGTCGCTTTATTCTGATTAGAGAAATCGGTAATTGGCGAAGATCCCGCGTGAAAATATCCTACAGAACGATTCAAAATTAAGAAAATTGAAGAGAATTCTGAGTAATATTGATGTTATAATTTTGCAAAATTGCAAATGGAAAATTTTAATTACAAAATAAAATTATTGTAATTAGATGGAAATCGATAATTAGCGAAAATCCCACGTGAAAATATCATATCATAATATCGTGGCAAGTGGAAAATTTAAATTACATAATAAAATTATTGTAATTAGAATAATTGCAAATTAGAAAGGTTTAATTAATTTCTTGTTACGTTTTAGTTCCCGAAAGGAGGCGTCAAGAATCCTCTCTCTATTCGAAGGGAGCAGACGTGAAACAATCTTGAAAATGACGGTCGGACTCGCAACGCGGAAACTGTTATTCACCGATTTCAATCGTACATACGCGTTTAACCCATTCGCAGAGTGAAACGCAACGCACAGGCCAGTCGCTAATATTCCATCTTGACGAGGAGTAAATGACTTCAGCTTGGAATGTATACTATCTAGGACATAACGCCGCGCCGATATTCGCCGTGGTTCAACGTTGGCTATCGCGAAAAACCTTATGGTATTTCGCTATCTTCGTCGGCTCTCTCGCGTTCCATCGTTCAAACGTATGTATTCCTTGACTCATGCTCGTGTCAATGCGTTCCGCGTCCTCGCGAAATTGATAAACGAATCCGCGACCAATTCGCCTAACTGATACTTGAAGAAGAACCTTGTCCTGCATACCGAATAAATTTCCAAAATAAATTGAAAAAAAAAAACCTAATACCAAAAACTTCAAGTCTATTTTTTCGTACAGAATTAATTATTGTTCCATTTGCATCATTACTTTACCCTATATTCTGTATGAAACATAATTACATTTAGTAATTAAGTTTCCAAAATGAATTATATTGAAACAGAAGCGCGATACAAAATAATTTCAGTTGACACTGTTTTATCTATTTTTTCATACAGAATCTATAATCAAGTTTGTACTATCTCTTTGCACGATACTCTGTATATTTCCACGAGAAAAAAAAAAAGGAACGGTTACTTTCAACGACTACCAGAAGTTAAATGAAGAAATCGATTTGGAGAACAATCAGAAGGATCAACGAGCGTAATTGTGGGAGTAGTTTCGTATTCTTGGCACGTTCAAGCGTCTCGAAGTTTCTTTTCTAGATTCTTTGACCGCGAAAGGCCCCCGGTAAACTCGTTTCTCTTGTCTCTAGCAGGCGCGAATGCATGCTCTCTAATTTTACAATTATCGAGAGAACCGTAAGCTGCTCTCTGCTCGTGCGACCGATATTAACGCGAGTTGCGAAAGGGTCGTAAACTAGGTTCTCTCGCGTTTCACGGATCGCAAGGAAAATGGTATCTCGTGTTTTTTTTTTTTTTGTTTTTTTTCGTTTTCTCCAACTTGAATACTCATCGAAAGGTTGACGATCGGATATCCAAGGATCGGGCTATTGTTATCCTAGTTGAGCGTTCATAGAGATCGGCTTGTTACTCGATGACCACGGGCAAGCGTACAGCGAAAGGGGAAATGCTCTCTAACTGTGCGGAAAAAAAGAGAAATCGACGCCCAGATGGGGGATCGATGTCCTATAAAGAGAAATATCTGCACCTCGATGAGCATCGTCAACTGACACTTTCCATCCTCGGTCAGTGATACCATTCATTTTTAAGCACGTCTGAGAAATTTCATATTAAATTAAGAATTTTCACGTTGTATGTTATTAAAAATGTAATAATATACTTTCTATAATTAAAGGAATTTCATTTTAACCTGCTAGCTGTGAAAGTTATTATCAAAAGTCCACCCTAGAGGGCGGAATTAAAATCAGAATCAAATACAATTATATGACATTGTTTTTACTTTTCATTGCAATTTCATATTTTTAAACTAAATTGTACATTTTTTCAATTGACGAATATACTCGTCAAAAACATTTCATTTGCGTTTTTTAAGTGACGTATATATTCGTCAAATTCATTTAACAGGTTAAGTGTAGTTTTAATTCTATCCTTGCGACCATAATAATTCAAATGCAAATTTTTCTATAGGATGCAGACATTACAAATTCCCCCTAAACAGTCTTAAATCCACGTTTACAATTATTGCTCAATTTTCTACCTGTTATCGAACGATTCCCGTTGGCATCTGATCTTTCGGATATCGTTACGATTCTTTATTCGCCGGATAAAACGTGATTTTCGACGATTCGAGGGACAAGGAGCGTGTTGAATGAACTCTGGCGATCCTAAGAGTCCCTTAGCTCGAGTCCCCGGAGCTTGCCACGACGAGACGAGGAACGCATTCCACGAGGTCGTCCGCCGACGATCTGCATTCGCAGAAAAGGACGAAGAAGCCGAGGAAGCGAGCAAAACGAATTAGCATCCCGATCGTCCGCACAGTTTTCTACCCTCTCTTTCTCTTTATCATCCGGTTCTCATTGCATTTCTCTCTCGCTCGTTGTCCCTCGGTGCGCTTGTACCTGACTCCTTCTTCCGACTCCGAACAGCGTACGCACTTTCTTACGCGCGTGCACAAACAACGAGCGAGCTGCGCCACACCAGGCGTACTCCACACACGGCTAACCACATAAATCACCGATCCGTTCGATCGTTCGCCAACGACTCCTATAGATGGTAATAATACGCTCCAGTCCAGATACGTCGCCACGCCGATTTAAATGGCGCGCGCTTCTCTCTCCTATAAATCGACCCATAATAGATGTTTAAATATATTTTAAAAAAAAAATTCCAATAATACTTCTGGGTTATTACAAAAATTACACCCTATATTGTTATAGAAGAGTTAAGAAATTATAGGCTGTCAGATAATGGTTCAAAAATATTTGGAATTCGTATAGATTCGTTAGGTTTCCACGAAAATGGTCTATGAACATTTTTGCAGAATTATACGGCTCTATAAAATTTGTTATTCAAGGAAAATTGTTTGCAAGTCTATGGTTATTTCTAATGCGCGTTAGATTTGAACAAGTTTTACCGTCCTATGACCGATTGAATAATATATTAGATCTATACTGTGTACGCGTACGCAGTGATTACAGTAAGCGTATCGGCGAGTCTAAAGTGCACTAACTCGTGTCGTTTAGTTTCCTTTGAAATCAGCAGATAATTCGCTGAGAAAATAAGGAAACATTCAATTGATGCTTCTCAATGCGAACAATGATCGATCAATTTTCATACCGTCAATGGTGATCGACGACGGAAGATAAAATACGATCGAGTAATCAAGAGAAAATTCTAATTAGCATTAATATTATGATAATTTCCGAGGTGTCGAGAGAAAAGTTCAAATTGGAAAATAAATTAATCAAGTTTTTATCGAGATCGTTACGTTTCAAAATAAAAAGCGACTCGATCGTCATCGTCATCGTCGGCCCGATACGCAAATTACAAAATGCACGGAATATTACATACATTATAAACATTAAAATTTTCCAAGAAGGAACTCCATCGACAAGCAAGAGGTCGGACGCGAGCCAGTGTGCGCAGCCCAACGTATCTTTAGCCGACACATTCTTCATGCCCGCGTTACGTCTCTCTTCCTTCTAGATAGAATTCTATTTTTAAATTGAACGCAATAAAGTTTAACGCCATGCGCAGCGTTATCGTTCCCTGCGTCTCGTGCGTTTTCGCTCGTGTTCGAATAGAAATCATCGACAATCCTACCTTCCTTTTATCCTACCCGAGTATCTGTCGTCGATGCCGTCCTCTGCTCTCCGACCCGGAAATCATACGGGAAAAGGACAAATCGACGGGGCACACACGGTGTTTCTGCCCACGCGCGGGCACGCGTGAGCGCGAACGATACCGCGGCTTGAAGAGTGAGCAATTGACTGTCATGGGGGTCACCGCTGACCGACGTCATAAATCCATACCCGATAGAAACAAATATTAAAGTTACGTGATTAGAAAATTAGAAATTGCACTGTGACACTGAATTTCGTATCCCGACTTCGATGTCATAGCGCCGAATTTTTTCATATTTTAACACCAAGGCTTTGGATAATATGAAAATCGAATGTTACGCCAATGAATATATAGAAATGAAAATATTATACAATCGTGGTACAGTTTCAAGGCATGTCTCTTGAAATTCAATTTATTTATCTCTACGGAACCCTACGTTCCGAGGATTCCTCTGCAACAGCCACGAAAAGGTGGAGGAAACAATCGTATGATATATTAGAACAAGCACGAGCCTATGGGTCGTCCTGCAACAGCAATTTTCCCATACAATACACGCGACTATTCCATGCACAAGCGTGTTTAAATCTCCCGCATATGGTAAAACGTAGCGGCTAGATGCCGCGAGCGTAAAACACATTGGAAGATCTTCGGAATAATACGTGCGTACACCTACACGTACGTTCTAAGTAGACGAATGCCTCTGCACGGGACAGGTCACATACATATAAATGTCAAGATTCACCTATGTCCCTCTTTGCCCCTTGCAACGTCCCTAAGCTACTCACACATTCAATTTACCTGGACGTTTCGAGTAAAGGGACACGTACTCATGGATACGTACTTTCCACCTATGTACATTGCTCCTCTCCCGAGAGAGTATTCCGCTCTTCGTGTTTATGTACCTGTCTCCCTTTCTTACCTGTTCCGCGTATTCTTTTCTTCCCGCATCGCCTCGCACTGTACCATACATCGCGCTCGAACGATTCGCGAGCGAGACGCGCGGTGAGAGAAGATACCCCCACTCCTCCACGTGTTGCGTAGTACGACTGCGCACGAACCGAAATACGAACTTAAGTTCGGACTTATTGTTAGTTCAGTGGGAAAAACGAATCGACGACTGTTCAATCGCTAATTTTACTAATAAAGTATTTTCTATTAGCAAAATTATTTATAATAAATTAATAATTTCCTAAGTATTATAGCAATTCTTATATAATGACTTAACTATGCATCTTACCAAAATCTTACCAGTGTTGGTATTGCATTATACGTATAATTATTACTATGTACCTTACCAATTATCCCAATGCACTTTAACCATTCAATTCAAGTAGCGACAATTAGCAATAATCATCGACGCTCGGACCCGACCTGTGCTGCCAAGAGATTTCGACCTTCGAGTTCCGTCCCGAGTGGGGGCACGTTCTCTTGGCTCTCTATTGCACTCGAATCGCACGAGTTTAACATACGCGTGCATCTGGGTAGTGGTACGTCGACAGGAACGGACTGTTCGGTCCGTTAGGTAGTGGTTTTCCTGCGGTTCTTCCACGGAACACGGTCCACGTGCACGTACACGTAAGCCCGCTTGGTGTGAGAGCCGTGTAGGTGGCTCTCCTAGAAGGAGGACGAGGAGGAGGGGTCGCTGACGTTCCAGCCTGACGCCAGGGCGACCTGCGATCAAACGCAGCGAACCGAGGGTGAGGACGGAACGTCTTGACATTGGCCACGTATTTCTGCGTCACCGTTTGCATTCGTAAACTTCGATCGGTCAAAATTGTTCAAGGATGGGATTCAGAAAGTCACGGTCAAACATTGCACGTCTGATTTTTTTTAGAATTTAATTCAGGTGACTGTTGCTCGGACCAGGATGAAGGATGAAGAAGACTATTTTAATATTTTATATTAATTAACATATTTGTTGAATTGGGACCATAATTTGTAGCCTGGATTGTAAAGTCTTCGATTAATTTAATTACGAATAAAAATTATGAATTATAAACACAATTTAAATACATAACTCGAGAGACGAAAACTAGCCAAATAAGAAACTCTTCCGCCATAATTACATACTATTATTATATAAAACCGTGCGAGTAGAGTGATAGTGAAAGCACTATCCGTCTCATTGTTCAACGATCCACCATACCAATAAACGAACAATAAAAGAAAGCCATTACGTAAAAAATATACCATTACGTGCAACTCTTTCGCAAACTCTAGCCTCATCCTTCAGTTTCACCTCCATCCTCCCACTCGTCAACTTTCATTTCAAATTCTGCTCGATCAAACTGACCCAACCGTCTCTTCCTACAATAATTCCATTCCACCATAAAATCTTGATTAAATATATTACAAAAATACCCAGTTAATTAATAATCACTCGTTAGTGAAATTCTGGAAGACAACCCATGTCACACTCGTCTTCAAAACAACAAAATAAACATACCATGATTTATAAATCATTCTCCTTAAAGGGTTAAAGCAACATGTGTCTGTTTTTTTTATTTTTTCACCAAATGATCCTCGTTCACTATCCTGAAGCCAAGTGTACGACCTCGAGAAGCCGAAGAATCGCGCTTACCTGTATATCGTTGGCCGGGAAACGCGTTTAATAATTTCCGATTGGAAAAACGAGCCGCGTACGGCAGACTGGCACTATTTGTAGAATCGTAAAGGCAGGATGTTTTCCAGGGTCGTTGTTCGTTGTCTCAGGTAATACGATCCCCGTTGTAAGGCGCATGCTGTTGCACGGCCGCTTCATCATATGGCTTTTCTCGGTTCGGTCCCGAAGGCTCGCCGGGAATCCTCCGTGTCCCGGCCACGAATATTATATTGTAATATTTATCGCCGTGAACGGCAAACGACGGCATATATTATGGCCGTCGAATGGAGCCAGCCCGGTGACGTGCCAAGCTGACGGCGGCGGGACGACCTGCGAACACACAACTACCATCGGGGTTCTTTACATTCCATTCGACCAGAACCCACGCCACTTCCCCGCTTATTACCGAAGAGCTAATATTTTGTAATCATATTCATGCAAACAATTTAAATAAATGAATTAGTTGGTTCTTCGTTGAAACATTTGATTGGTTCTTTCAATTAGAAGCCAGTCGGTTTGTATTAAGAATATTGATAAAGCGATTATGTAACTATTTTGATTAAACTTTAAGCTTTAAATTGATGTGCCATAAGTGCTATTTTGTGATGCTTTTATGTCATCGAATCGTGTCAGACTTTCCACGCTCTACATCTTTAAATTTGTTGCACTAATTAATCGAATGTATCCGAACGAAATCTAGGAAGAATAAATGAAAAGAAGGAAGAATAAGTTTCTGAAGGAGGCCAGAATCTCACGAGCTTCTGTTGCTTATATCTGGAACACAACGTGTTCCTCTTTCTTTCTTTCTTCTTTTACATTTCAACCAAACTTCCTCGAATCGCAGTTACATAAAGCATGCTGAAACGGTCCTTAGCATAATCCACTGCAAGCTTATCAAAACCCATCAACGAGCAAACCTCTCCACGCCACTAACGAGTTGTTCTTATTTTTAGTTCGAAACCACCGTGGCAGAGATACCAAGAGCATCCTGTGCGCGCCTCTGTCTGTGTGTGTGTACACGTAGCTCATCCAACAACGGATTTATCTCTTACGCTCCACCCGCGCACCCACGTCACACGGTAATGCAATAATTGACCTTTTCGCTGGGTCGATAGAGAGGAAGGGAAAAACGGGTCGACACTGGAGACAACTATTTCGAGCGTGCGTGTGTGCCGCAACCCATGGAGATTCGTGCGTGAAAAAATTGTGGAATTAACCCCTTTTTAATACTACTTCAAATTTCTTTTAATTTCTCCCCACAGTTATTCGATTATGCTAACCCTCGGACGGCGGACCATGGAGAGAGCCCAAATTTTAATTTCATTTCGTATTTCACGTCATTGGCATTTTCTAAATTTTACACTGGTCTTTTGAAATTATTCTTCCTATAAATGAAACCCTTTCGTTTAAAAAATTATAAATTCTTGCGTGTGTTTCGTAAGTTTGGGTCATTATTGACCCAGGCTTCGCTACTCAAGGGCTACCAGTGAACCTAATGACCTTTAAATTACAGAGCCAAATTTTTACTAAATTAGATTAAGCTCATTAACAGCTGTCTAAAGTATTTCTTCCAAAAATCAATTTCAACTCTCGTGCAACCGTCCACCAAAAAAATTCCGATCTTCGCGACGGACCTCAAAGGAGAACGAAAAAAGGGACGTACGCAAAGGATAATACGAATAGAGGTTTTCCCAGACTTTCGCTGAGTAGAACTTTGTTCCAGTAATTAAAGGTAGGACTCTTTCTCTCTGCCGATGTATTTACCATCGACCTTTGACGCAAGGACAAGGCGGGTTCGCCTTATCAAGAAAAATCGACGCTCGGCAAGGGCAGAGCAATATGTGGACCGTTTGACCGTGAGACGAAACCTGAATAATAGTCGCGAATGGACCAGCTAGTAGCCAGGGAATGATTCACGGTCGTCGTTGTCGTCGAATCGACGCGGCCTTGCTAAACTGAAAATTCACATGTGGATCTGAGAAGAATCGTGCTCTCGCACATTCTCACACACGCTCGATCGTATCTGCTATCATAACGCATCGATTGTGGCATAAGTATGAGATAAATCAACATCGATATACAGGGTGTTAAGAAATTAACTCGACACTGATTGCAATTTCGCTTTTCTTTTTTTTTCTTTTGCAAAAATAAATTCTGTAACTTGGATCAATTAGAAGAAAATTATGTGAACAGTACTTAATTGCTCATAAAAAAAAATTCAACGAGAAAATTAATTGAATCGGGATCAGCGTAAGGAAGTATTTAATACAAGTATTTAATAGTTGATCGAACATGATGTTTCTTTTACTGTCTGCTGTTTTTGCAAGGGTGTACTAGAAGCATTCTGTACAGGTGAATCATTGCTAAGGAGGCTAAAATAATTGGACGGTAAGTAGACTTCAAGGCGAAACGTTTCTCAGGACGACCATCCCGTCCATCTCGCCTACGTCGTTGCGATCGAGCTCGCGTTGCAGCCAAATTTGGCGATGGATAATTAAAAAAACGAGCCGTTCCTCGAGAAACTCCTTAGAACAGTCTCTTTTCGATCTTACCGGCACCGAGACCTTGATTATACTTCGATACGATTCTTATTTAGAACGCGCGGCATTTTATAAATTTCAAATTCATCCACAATTTTCGATTAATTCGAAAATCTTCGTCTCTTCAGCTTCATCTGTATAAATACAGATTTTGTTCCGTGAATTTTGCATGTTACACCTTTATTTTTCAAATAATAATGACTCACGTTGTTTTACGAGCAAAAAGTTTCTTTCGGCAAGGTGACGACAATGGACGCGTGTACTCGTTATTATATCAAGTGTTGGAAATATTGCGAAATTAACAGGGAAAATTTTGCGCTTTAATGCTGAGAAAAATAAAAAAAAAGAGAGAAATTCATATAGCGATTGAAGTTATAGTACATTTAACACGGTTACAGCGGTTGGCCTTCGGGCAGACACAGATGCATTAATAAAATTAAAGCGCAAATAAATAAGTAAATAAACGGTAGTAAAGACAAATAAAGAAAAGGTGAGATGAAATCGATGACAAGATACTTCTTTATTTCTTTCACCTTTCAACTTTCTGCTTGTCTGTGATTTCTTTCTGTCAGGTGTTTAATCCTTTCCTGAAGTATATGTACGTTGTTAAAATTATACCAGATATACAATAATTATTATTTGACCACTTTATATATGAATAAATAATTTTGTTTAAGATTTCAGCGAGACCGAAATTCATAATTCTATATTTATCCTATATTCATCCGAAATTCTTTCCTGAATACACCATCTAAATATAATGTAACGTTCGAGTAACAAGAGCGTTTTATTCCAGGAAATACCTTCGATATTTATGTTAATCCAGCAGTAGCCTGGAAAAGATTGGTCCACACGTAATCAGAGGGAAGTAACCGTTTCCAAAATTAGGCCAAGTAGTTTGCTTCTTCCAGCATCATCGATATTAATTTATTCCTCGGGAACGAGCGAAAAAAGATCCTCTTCGTTGCGACTGTTCGTAAGTAGATTGTACCATCAGTAGTCAGACCAAGCCCATTGACCACTCGCGTACAAAAAATATTTATTTTACCGAATTTCAAGATTTTTCGATAAATCATTTTAAAATTACAAAAAAAGAAATCAAGAGGAACACAAGGACTATTGTAATCTGAAAGTATAATTAATCACTTAACAATTCTTTTATAAAATAATTTAAGAAATTCAGTAATTTTAATACAGAAGGTGCTGTATTTAATTTTCTTTTACTATTTCTTGGGATTCTGATGCAAAATGTTGCAATCAACATTATGGACATTGTTCTAATTTTCATTTATGAAACTGCTGTTGCAACAATTGTAATAATGGACGAATTTTTCAGTGGGTGGTCAGCCCACGAAATAACAGAATCGTAATGCATTTAAAACAATTGTTTTCATTTAGTTTGGGGCGTAATTGTAGGTGGTAAAAAGGTGCTTTAGAAAATGGACAACAATGTTGGGTAGCAAGTGTTCACCTACTGTTTGCCACCTACGTGACTAATTGCCAACAGCAATATCACCGTTTCCATGGCTTCTTCGAATCAATTTAACCATTAGTATGGTAATAACACGGTTGTGCCTCGCTCGTTTCGTTTTATTAATACTTATGCTTCATTTGTGATCTTGTCAGCAACATATCCATGTATTCTAGGATTACATTCTAATCTTGTTTCTCTTTTATGATTTCACAATATAATATTTCAACTGTTCATTTATTAATTACAATAATTTTGCTAAAATTGAATAATTTTGGTTTTTAAACGATCAAAAATAATTTAATTCCTGTCTTGTTTTAATAACAACATTTCTTTTATACCATTCTCTTCTATTATTAATGTTTCTATTTTGGGACACGGAATTAACTACCAATCCAAACATTACTGCTTATAGCATGCACCTGTTAACTGTAACAAGTGCTGCAAACAGCACCGCTACTTCCTTAGCCTTTCTAAACGAACACGCAGCCATTGTAACACTTCCTTCCTCTCTTTCTCGTATCATTAGCACTTCTACTTCCTCTGTTTGTATCTTACACTATCAAATTTTCTCGAAAATCGCTTACGTTATTACAGTAGACTCTCGTTATATCACCGCGAAGGGGACTGTAGTAATGAAAAATTTTTCAAGTTTCCTTGATCTCATTTAGAAGAGAAAAAGTGTATCATCTTCATAGACTATGATAGCATGATAGAAAATCTGTACGAATCTTCAAATCACTAACGTGGCAATATAACGAGAGTCTACTGCATATCAGTGAATAAAATCAAAATTTTCTCTGCTCAAATTCGATCTAAATTTTTCAAACTCTAAATTTAAATTTAACTCTTCGCTAAATCTTGTGTACTTTAATTTCCGAGTTCAACCGCAAGGTATGATACATAGTTTGAAAAAGGAATGGCTTCTTTGCATCAAGATCGCGATGCAACTTTTGGGACAGATTTCTTTGCCGGTGGCTGGTGCATCGTTGGACTTATACGTGGTCGTTTACAGGTATGCCAAGCATGTAAGGTCTAACGCCGAGTCGTTGGTCGTCCGGGCAGAACGAGTGGGAGGAAGGGCAGCCTTAGGTCGAATGGAAAGAGAAGCCCGAGGGACGAGAAGCTGGCGAAGGAAAGAGGCAGAGATGCAACGGGCATGATGAACAAAGAGGGGAGGCTGTACTTTTCGGATCCGTGGCGTAGAGGATAGGTATATCGAGTGCATTCGACATGCACGTAGAGAACACACAACGAGAACGTGTGTAACCATGAAAGAATCTTGGAGAGCAGAGCTAGGCATTTTTTCGACGATGATACCGAGCTTTCCCGT